CACACACACACACACACACACACACACACACACACACACACACACACACACACACACACACACACACATATGGCCTTTTCATGGTATAAGAATTTGACATTTGAGCTGAGCTGAAATTAAATCTACAAAAGTGTGAGCACCGTCACAACTACAGCGAGACAAGTTTCAATTCAACCAGATAAATCAGATCCGAAAACTATCTGAAAACACCCGATGACGTCACATCTTCCAAAGCCTCGTTTCCATTTACTGCCACTTATTTTCCACATTTTTTTTTTGTTTCTTACTTGAAGACAAAAATTCAAATATTCCTCACTTCCTGCAACTGTGTGTGTGTGTGTGTGTGTGTGTGTGTGTGTGTGTGTGTGTGTGTGTGTGTGTGTGTGTGTGTGTGTGTGTGAAAGATCAGACCCTGTGTATCATCAATAACCATAGCGAGTTCATTTTAGGGGAAATAGCACTGTCACATTGTTAGATAGTACAGTACAGAGGCGGTTACGTACAGGTAGCGATGCTGAATAGTGCAAACTGCAGTCTTGCACAAAAAAAAAAAAAAATCTGTCCCAAAGAAAATAATCAAAATTTTCTACCATTTTGTATGTTTTCGTCAAAAAAAAAAAAAAAAACTTTGGGAAATTGCTATGAATAGAATATATATACACTATATTGTAATTCCAGGAAAACTATCAAAAATGTATGTTAATAAGAAATTATAAGCAAAATTAAACAATTCAGGTACATTTTATTGAAATAGCACTGATTTAGATGTAGTGACGATGTGAAATATCAACTATGTTGTAAAGGATCTTTTGGAAAGCACTGTGAATTTTATATAACACAGTTGCGCATGATTTACAAGTTAGGAGAATGTTTTCGAGAAAAAAAAAAAAACCCAAACAGATGATATCCCTCCAAATCAATGCCATTCAGTGGACTTACACCAGCTTACTTGAGCTTTAACACAGGTGGACCAGCTAATGTGTTTGAAGAGACTGAGGGCCCTATATTGGAAGACTGGTGCCCATGCATTCGCCGTAAAAATGGACGTAACTTCATTTTTGGGCCAGTGCAAGTCTAGTGTCTTTGGGGGCCGTGTTGCAGCCATTTGGGTGTTTCGGCGCACAGAGTTTGACTCGCCCCTGAGTCATCCAGCAATTTGGTAACAGAAATTAGTCTGCGCTCACAGTAAAAATGGACACCTTGACATTTCCGTGACAGGGCAATGGGCCAATTCAGTGTGTTTTCGAATTCGGTAGACGCGCTATGCCTCAGTGGGCGTTTCTGCCTCGTCCCCCAGCGCGTCTACAAATTTGTCACTATTGTGTGTTTGTGTGTGTGTGTTCATCCACAGCCAACACAGCGCATGCAATTTCATACACCCACACACACACACACACACACACACGATTTCTCTGGTCAACGTAAATGTCCATTGCAGTTATTACGCAATTTTAGCTCAGGAGTTAGTGCTCTGTGATTCCAAGCCAATGGCTTGTGTACGATCCCCATGTTGTTGTTGTTTTCAGCAGCATCAGGCATGGCGTAGTCGTGTTTGCTCTTCGACCGATCTGATTTTTATGCATATTAGGGACACAGCGTGGATTGGCCGGGAAAAGTCAACTTCCACCCCACAACAGCGCACAAAGGCGCAAACGCCGCGTTATGCCCAATTCTAAGTCAAGTAATACCAAAAGAAAGAAAATTTTCACCCATGCACACAGTTAGACTGCTCATTGCCCTAGTCTTGCGCCTGGAACAAAAATAGGGTCCTGAAAGTCTGGTAATGTTCATATTGATCATTGACCTGTTTTTTTTTTTTTTTTTCTTGTCAACTAGGGCACATTAAACAACTAAAGGCAGTACCTTCTTTCTTGTTAGGTCAGTCACTATTAATGAAGAAATGCATTTATGATATTAGAAACCAAAAGCTGTGCATTGTAGCAAGTGATGTTTGCTGGTTGGTCCATGTCATGTTAAATGGCATGAAGTGCCTTTGTCTGGAAACTAAAGTGTCTTCTCTTTTTCACTAAATTCTTAGATTTTTTTTTGGGGGGGGGTGGTCAGTGTTCAACAATTACTTAGAGAATTAGGCATTTCTTCTTACATACCCTCCAATATTGGACTACCAGTAATTTTTTTTTTCTGTTCGGTGTCTGATAGTCATTGCATTGTAGCTGTTTTTCCTTCCCACATATTGTAAATAAAACACTTTGGATCATTTGGCGTAGCAGCATCTGCTCGCACTATACATGTGTTTGACTTGTGTGTAGTGATCTTGTTAAGACTGGACAGTGTCAGATGCCTCATTCAAAATAATGCAGTGGTTTGGGCACATGTTCTTCATTGAGAGATAATTCTACTAACTGGTAGAAACAACCTGCTTGGTTCCATTCTGTATTTTAATCCAACAAATGCCCTTTAAGTTAACCATCATTTAACTGTTAATTATTCTGTTCTTTTTTGAGATTCAACAGTGCTGATGTTTGGAGTGTGTCACCACCGAACGGTACATTGCAAATGTGCTGGTGTTAATTCAACACCTAGGCTGTTCATTTTAACAAAGGCATCCATATCACCTGGTGTTAGTAACATTTAATAAATGTTCAGCACCCAATAGAAGAAGAAATGTCTTACCGTCATCAAGATGTTAACAATTTTTCTGAAAGTAGTGAATTCATTCGCAGTACCCGCACTAAGAGTCATTTCATTGTGGCAGTCAGTTGCAGAGTTTTTTTTCCCCCAGGAGGTGGTGGCGCCACTAGACATTGCAATTTTTACAAGACCCTTTCACCTGGCGTGCATAGTATCGCATCTCTCTGTGCGTGAACGTTGCCTTGATTTTTATACTTTTGACAACTGGCTGGTTGGCCAAACGTTTCATGGTGGACATGCATTCATTACCTGATACATGTTCAGATGTTTTGTGGTCTTGCAGAGTCTTTGAGCAACCTTCAAAACCAAATGGCAGCAAAACAGAATCCGGGCACAAAACGATGAACATGACATCCTCAACTCCCATTTCCTGTAGGCCTGCATGGCCAAATGAGATAACACGAGAGGTGTTTTTGCAACTCGGTAACTAGCTGGTAAGACCTTGTTTTCTAGACTGTGGAAGAGAATGAGCAATTCCACGGACATAGATAATGCATGCATTAACTTTTCAGACAAACTCTTCCATGCAGTCAAATTCCTTCAAGGACACATGGCATTTCTTACCAACGCATTTCCATGTTACATTTTGGAGATTAGGCACGTTGCTTGTCAATCGGCTGACAAATGACGCTCATTAGACTGAAAGGAGTCCTCTGGACTACTCACCAGTCCCCCCCAAAAAGCCACGGAAGTAAGTTTGAACAAACATGCAGCTCGTCGGTCAAGCGGCCTACACCTCCTTGAACCAAAACATGTTAATGAACCTGACTGGCCTTGTGGCCATCATGATACTGAAAAAAATTGTCTCGACCGACCAATGAACTTCAATCATTACGTACATCATTTCAAATTTAAATGGCTGCCAGTCAAGGTCGAATCCCGATGACAGCCCATTTTAACAAATGTCTCAGTGTTACATCCAAGATGACAGTCGTGTTAATGCAACACCGATGTTCTGTTTTTAACACTGTCCCCGAACTTTGAACACTGGCCCATTTGCAGTGAACACATTCCTGGATACATGTTTACATTTTTCGCATTAAGATTCATGCGTTCACTCAGAAATTATTAAACTCGTTTTCAGTGGTTTGTACTTTGCCCGTAAAACTGGAAAGGGGAAAAAAAGTAAAGCAAAAATCAAAAACAATAATCCTTCTGAGAAGTGGTGTCCAATAAATCTTGTCATTTAAAGACAACGAAGAGTAGCAAAGAGTTGTTGTCCAACTGTACATCTACATGTAATCAGATTTTTAAAATAACATACTTTTGTGACACTTTTTTACCAACTTGGTTGGCACTCCTCCAGTGAGAGAACATCCTTAATAGTTAATAAAAAGCCCTCCTTCCAAAATGGTGAATATTTCATGTTTCAAATTGTTTCAAAGTTTATGAATGATTGTAATGTGTTGTTCGTGTTCTCTTGGGAGATTTAGAACCATGCGTGGCACAGAAACCCAGTAACACGTTCTCAAATGGCCTTGAATATTTGCTTCCCATCTTTGAAGAATGGGAGATTTTTTTCTTTTTTTTTTGGTCCGTGTTGTTATTTTTTAAGGTGCTTTGTATAAAAGTGACAATAACGTTTATTACAGATGTTTGATATCCTAATTTCCATCCTATTTTGTGAAGAAGAGAGTACTATAACATGCAGGAGAATCCAAACTCCGCTGACGTGTCTATTGGTACCACACAGGGTCTGATCTTTGCTTTGTAACATTTTCCCCACATGACTCTAAAGTATGTTAGATATTTTCTAGCTTTGTAGAGACTTTGTATGCATATGCGATTCACTTTCAAATAAATGGCCAGTTCCAAATGCTGTTTTGTCACGATTCATCTGTCGATAAGCAAAACTTAATGTGAATTACGTCCTGTCACTTGAATTCATGTACTGTAATTGGACTGCAGTATGAGCTCAATGACAAATAGTTGTAATATTTCATGCTTGGTGGTTTCAAAAGGTGACTATTTGCCAACAGTCTTTGTTGCACAAAGCATGACACATTTTACAACAGCAAAACATGTATGTAAATGTGCCCCACAATTGGCTGACAACCAGTCGAGGGTGTACCCTGCCTCCTGCCCAAAATCGACTCGGATAGGCTCCAACCTACCTGCGCCACCAATGAAGACAAGAGGTATTGACAATGGATGAAGGGATGAATGGATTTCTACCTGGATGGTCTTGGACTATGCGGTGTAATGTCCTTTTGTGAACACTGGAGGGAACCAGACTATGAGCACTAAACTTTACATAATATGTGCTTATTTAAAATGCATGGAAAGCGAAAACCTCTCACAAACCTGTCGTGAATTAATTATTGTCAAGCTAAAACACAGCTCTCCACTAGCATCCCCCAATTAGTTCTCACTGAGGGCCAAATTATGTCAGGGTTGCCAAGAGGTTTTTTTAATGACTAATTAAATATTGTTTTATGTGCAGATATTATTGTTGCTGCTATTATTAGAAGTAGTATTGTAGTATGGTTTGTTGTCAAACCAGATTCCATGTAGCACAAGGTAGTATCGTTGTACTGAGGGTCAGACAAGAGAAAAAAATAGTGCAATTGAAAGAAAAAAGTCTAATATCAATTTGCGTTTTCAAAGCTCCCTTTTGAAAATTTCGGTCAACATAATATGAGCAGTTTGATCAAGAGAAGTGAACCACAGCAAGTGGTGCACAAGAGGAAAAAGGGTGTGCTCAGGAAAAGATGACAGATAGTGTTTTTTTTTTTATACAAAAGTGGAATATTCCCGCATACCCATATCAGTAGCATTCATGCTGATTGTTAAGATGTTAATCTCTTAGTAGAAACAAATGAAGCAAAAAACTACAAAATGAGTGTCAAAATATCCAAATGGATTTGAGCATTCTCCACAGACAGCTGTCAGGAGCATTTCTGCAACCACACATAATGTGCTAATAAAAACAAAACATAAAATACAATCCACTCTAGATTTAGACATTGTCTAGTGGGTTTTCTTTCTTATGAATGCATGGTTTTGGCGATGAACAACTTGATCGTCACTTGTCAACATAACATAGAGCAAACGTTAGCTCCCCTGGCCCAAACGGCAGGAATGATCACATGGTTTGCTTCCAATATTGCAGATAAGACCGTGGGAGTGGAGGCAAGGTGGCCCATTCAGCTAATGTGACAATTTATCCACTTGTTGGACTCACCAAGCCGCACTGATTCGGCACGGGGCTGGTCTCGCGGGCCGGAATTGACCCGTTGATAACTGCTCTAGAGCAACAAGATGACTTATCTATTTAAATCAGCATGTGACCTTATATGAGCTTTTCCTTACTCTATGTCCCTGTTAATTAGAATTAGAAAGAATAAATAATTTATCATTGTTATTTTAAATATTCTTGGCTGTGTCTGTGTCTGTGGGCGGGTCTGTTCTGTTTTTGGCAATAGTGACCTCACAGGAAATTAGTTCAAAGATTAGAAAAATAGTCGGTGTTATCTCACAGCCGAGACACCACCCTTGGACAAATTGTCCTTCTCAAATCTACTTTTGTGTACATACACTCCTGCTCCTTGTGTGTGTGTGTGTGTGTGTGTGTGTGTGTGTGTGTGTGTGTGTGTGTGTGGGTGTGTGTGTGTGTGTGTGTGTGAGAGAGAGAGATGTGATTATTAGTGTTTATTCTTTGCGTTTATCTCCCAACAAACCTCATGGATTCTTAAGAGCACAGTTTTAGATAAAAACAGACTAATGACACACAGCATTACTGTGACAGTCTCTATCTCACACACAAATGCTCTTTAGACAGATGAATCCTTTTATGGGATTCCTCGCCCATACTTAAGCCTGAAATAGTTAAAGAAAGGATAATGGAGTCATACACTTTTAACTGCAATATATGAATAACTCTGTAGGACCTAATAGATGGATTTTCATCTGCTTTGTGATGAGTCCACAGCTGTGGTTTCTCATCATCAGATCCGTTTGGCTTTTTAACAACAAGGCCCGCTGCTGTGCAAAAACCTGGCTAATGTTCATCATGGGACTGTTTCGTATGGGTCATCAAATATATCATTCATTCTTTCAGAAATTGTCGGTTCAACTATTGTGTTATGTACTGTGAAACATCGTTCTGCCTCTGCCGTACTATTATTAAACTACACTAAGTCAAGAAAGAAGTGCAAACAAGCAAGAATAGAATAGGAGGAACTGTACTCACATTTGGTATCAATAGCACAACTAAGTTTACGTCTTAATTCAATCCCAGCCTAAATAAAACCCGATTATTTGGTATTTTGGATTTGTATTTTATTTCTGTATTTGTTTTTGTGCAAATGAACAAGGAGGGGGAGGAGAACACGAGAGGAGGCGGGGCTCAAAGCTTCCACTAGCCTGCTCCTGTCTCCCGCGCGCACACACGCAGAACTGTCCCACCACAGGCAGGCACGCGCGTCTTGTGCTCTCTGCTGTCGTTTTTCTGACGGGGACAGAGTGACACGATGTCCACGCAGCGGGAAAAGACCGCGCGCAGTCGACGACGGACAAGAACCGGATGCAATTACTTTCGAGATGAGCTCTGACACTCATTGATCCTTTCAGTATCTACTTTAGGAATTGTGCCGTTAGTTTTACTTTTGTTCAATTGACTCTGACACCGGCGTTTCAGTTCCACGGATTGATAAAAAAAAAATAAATAAACAGCATCTCTGGAATAGCTTACATGGAGCCAGAAGAAGGCAAAGTCTCTGTGTGGGTCTGCCGGGAAGAGAAGCTGGTCTCAGGGCTGACTAAGAGGACCACATGCACCGATGTGGTCCAAGTCCTGCTGGAGGACCAGAACCTGCGGCAAGGTGCCTCAGCTGGAATGCTCTCAGGACCCCCTCAGTCCTATTGCATGGTGGAGAAATGGAGGGGCTTTGAGAGGATTTTACCCAACAAGACCAAAATCCTCCGACTATGGAGCGCCTGGGGGGACGAGCAGGAGAACGTCCGCTTCGTCCAGGTCAAGACTGATGCGTCACTTCCCAACAATGGGCCTCGGAGTGCTGAGGCCCGTGTGGTCCAACGTCGGGAGAATTGGGGTCCCGGTGGAGTGATCAGGGCCCCCGTTAGGACCTGCTGGCCCGCCACAGCCAACAACTTGTCGCAGGAGCGGCAGAGGCGCATTGTGAGGAAGGCCTTCCGGAAGCTGGACAGGATGAACAAAAAGAAAGAGCAAGCGCTCGGTAAAGATAAGAGCTCCGCGGAGAAGATGGAAACTTTGGTCCATTTGGTGCTTTCGCAGGATCACACCATCCGCCAGCAGATCCAGAGACTCGAGGAGCTGGATAAGGAGATTGAGAGCTACGAGTCCAAGGTGCACTTTGAGCGCATGAAGAGACACGGGGTCAACTATGTGCAGGACGCCTACTTGGAGGACTCCTCTGCCTTCCCGGAGGACCGTACGCACAAAATCGCTCCAGAAGCGCTGGCCCAGTTCGAGGAGTACGCGCGGCAGTGCGAGGAGGTGGTGCGGCTGCAGGAGGAGTTGACGGCACGAGAGGCGCTCATGGAGAGCATCACTGCGGAGATCCAAGAGGAGCTCAACATTCGGTGGATGAAGCGACGACGGGAGGAGAGAGAAGATGAGAAAATGTCGGAAATGTGCCTGTCTGCTCCCCCCGTGCTGGAGTGCGTGTCTGGAGAGGAGGTGGTGTTGGAGGAGGAAAGGATCAAAACGCAGCTGAACACCAGCCTCTACATAGGCCTGAGACTCAAGACAGACCTGGACGGCATTCGGGGAGACTTGAACCTGAGTCTTGCACTCCTGGAGAGCAAGGAGACTGAAATGCTGGACCTACTGGCCAAAGTGGAAACTATGGAAATAGATCAGGTGGACAGCAAACTGGATGATGACGATAATGATGCTGAGGATGATGATGACGACGACGACGACGATACAAAGGCAGATGAAGGCGCAGTGATGCCAGTGGAGAAGAGCGGCATTTGGGTGGAGCAGGCTCGAGGTCTGTCAAAGACCTGCAACACCAACGACGAGGACTCGGATACAGGCTTGAGCTCCATGCACAGTCAGGACTCTGACAACCCTCCTGTGTGTGAATCTCTGGTCTAAACCAGATAACATGGACTAACAATGCACCTCAATCCAAATGCTATTAGAATTGCAAAGTCATACATTTACTTTTAGTCGAGTAAGCGAACGTTTGGTTTGAAAGGCCATGGCTGACTTGTGACCACGGAGTGAGTTCATAGAGTGCCACTTCTTGGGCTATTTTATCAACTCTGTAAAAGTACGCCACATAGGCATGCCAATATAATATATCAAATCACAGGTGTCAAACTCAAGGTCTGCCAAATCATTTCATGTACAACAAAAGCAAATTATGTTGCGTCCACTCCATATTTCTTGAATTCACTTTAACGTTGAAATATTCCAAACATGTTTTTTTTTTTTTTTTTTTGTCTCCAAGCCGCTTTTTAAAACAAATCCAACAATTTCCTCAGCTTTCTTCTGAGTTCTGGTTCCAAAACGAGTCACCATCAATTTGCTGTGGATGTAAGGAGTAAATCACTCAATTCTACCTCGGCCTATATGTGGCTTCACAGTCACAACGTAACTCTCTGAGAAACCAAAATTGCAACGTGGGCCTCACAAAAATGAGTTTGACACACTGTCTTAAATGAAGTAAGGACTAACTTGGTACAAGAAAAAAAAGGGAAAAAAAGATTCTCACCTGAAATGAGAGCAAGCGAGATTCCTGTTAGAGTGGCTCTGACCACCATATTCATGTATTTTCCTATTAACGATCACATTTAAAACCCTGGAGAACCCAAGAACCCTTTTCTTCTTGGGAAAATTATGAATTATACATTAAATGACTGCTATATGTTCACTGAACACCAAAATATATTTTTTTTTCAAATATTCAATGCCTTAATCCTAATTTAGGATAAAGGCCAAATTTGACCCTTTGGGATTTGAGGGTAGCATTTGAGTAGCAGAATTTATAGGGGCCAAATGTGACCCCGTGGGTTCTCCAGGGTTAAGCACAGCACAGTCTGCTACTCTTCTGACAGGTTAGTTACAAGGTTACGCGAATGCATTATAGGCATACTACCACTCTTCAAAACAGCGGCAGCGAACCGGAACCCATGGGATGAAAGATTATTTGATCCAGCCCACCAGGCAAATCTAAAAAAAAAAAAACCCCTAAAAAACAAGTCAAACCTCAAAGTTGGGTTTGGTTTCGAAAACACAATTATAATCTAACGACAAAACACTTGCTCAATCGTATTCTATTTTTCATACATTCTGTATGGCCCTCGAAGGACTTCATTCAACTTGTTGTCATGGTGTTGTCCTCAATCTGGCGGGGCTCACTATATTTGGCAAATTCTAGCTAAAACCACACTCCATAGTTAATATTTTATGGTCACTCTGAACCGTTTCCCGTAATTAGTGGCAAAAGGATTGCTTCATGAATTGCAAGGCATGTCATTATTTAATAATGATCGACTACCATTAGGGGGGATGGTGGGGTGCTAAGCTGTTGTTGAGTGGCCATAACTTGACAAGCACGAGTCACTGTCTCTGTTGTTATCTATTGACTTTTGGCTGACATATCTTGAAACCAATTATCAGATTAATACTTTTGATAAAGACTTTCTAAGGGCCTATAGATATGACATCAGTTCATTTCGGCCTAATCTAAAAAACAAACAATGCACATGAATCATGTCATGAATCATGAAAAACTCAACTATGTGCTTTGTAAAGTGCGTAAGCCCAGTCGTTGTTGTAGTTCTCCTGGGTGGAAACAGCACAATCTTTGGTCCTTCCAAGACAGCGTCATTACTTTTTTCTGAATGTTTGGTTACAGACTAACTACTGTACCGCTACTCTCGAGCACTGAAAAAGATTAACTTATCTCTCTTTTTATGAAGACATTATTTGTAATAATGACAGTTAGTTAACATTTGAATATTTTCGGATTAACACCTGCAGTAATTCTGCAGATTGCATAAACGTAACAGAATTCAGTACTGTCCTGGTTGACGCTATAAAATTTGAGTTTCTCATGTTCCGCTAAGAGTGCGTTTTACAGTTCTTACAAGGCAGCATGAGGATCATGACATTGTGACATTTGTGGATCAAAATGTCATACCGTAACCTTTCATTTTCCTTTTGAAAACAAAATAAAACATTTTCTTTGACACATGGTCTTTTATTCGTGTCTTGAGTAACCGACCTGGTCTTTGTTTTTTGCATCTTATTGTGTTTGTGAGTCTCAAGCCATGAACCATCAGATTTGAAAACAATTCTAGAAATATATATTTCAGTCACAGCAACTTTCAAGTTAAAAAGTATTTTAGGCTTTATTTTGTTATTCCTTAACACAATCTAGTTAGGGAGTCCAATTATTATTATTATCATCTTAAGCTAACATGAACACTGTTGGATTGCATTGTAAGACTGTTGTGGTGACAAATCCTACATGTCTGATGTAGTAGTAAAATAGTGAAGAGTCATAAATTTGTTGGAGCCAAGTTAAGGGCCATTTTGTCGGGTTCTCCCAGGCCGCAACATGGCAACATCTCGCTGTTTCATAATCACTGGCTTCAGATCAGTGACTCACAGGCTCCATATGCACTCAGATATGCAATCAGCTCAAGTGTGGCTTCATTATAGCACATAATTACACATGACTGAATGTGTCGAAATAAACAGCAAAACCTCTGGCTTGTAGCGTGGCTGTTTTTTTTTTTTCTTTTCAGCACGAGAAACATGTCAAGAGCAGAATTATATTCGGTGTTCTGTAAGTAACTTTGCTTTGGCTTTATACGGCAAATGGAAAAAGAGTTCGCACAGACTGGGGCCACAGTGAAAGATGTGTGAATTCAAGCATGTATGAATGAATATATGTGAATGCTGGTCGTTACTCCCTGATCACTCTTGCATGAGCTTCTGCTCAAATCGTGACAGCCTGAAAGAGAGACGTGAATACACTCCTGGGAGCTCATGTTACCATGAAAGTAACACACCTGCACATAGCCTACGGGCGAAGTCTTCCAGGGTCAGGCTGCTTCCCACTTGCCGCCTCTGCTGTCTGAACACGCAGGCAATTAAAGCAAATGTTCTTTCTAATTTTTTCGCTCTATTTACAATGAATGGGACATGATTCGGTGCGTCATTAAAATGACTCTGGTGCTGATCGAAATTCATGAATATTTTCTTTGTAATCATCAGTGCACAGTAATAATATTTATATGTACTATATGTATATGTTATTTGTTTTATTTTTATTTTTTGGTCATGTTGGACATGACCAACAACAGAATTTAGATACCGCATCCTCACTAGCCACAACTTTATGTACAAGTGCACAAGATTTTTTTTTCAGTCTGCATTTGTAAGTATAACAACGTTCACAGTTGACACTACTGAAGACAGAAAATTCTATCAATTACTGTGGTTATAGTCAATATAACCGGATTGAAAACTACCAAATCTCAAGTACATCACTGACCAAAGTCATAATTGCTGATAGAGATCTTGTATTGGATTACATTAGAGCAGGGTTGGGGGAGCGGTTAGCACGTCTGCTTCGCAGTGAGAGCTTTCTGCTTTTAAATCTCCCCCCCCCACTCATATAGATTTCAATGTCTAACCATTGCTCTTGCCAAGTGAAGTGGGGGGGGGGGTCACTGTCCCCGTCCCTATCCCGAGTCTAAAAACTTTCAATTTTAGTAGAGATCACTTCCTGAAAAATCTTAATTCATTTTGACCATGTTTGGGTGTGGGCCACTGTGCATTTGAACTTCAAGGTTAGCAAATTCAGCAGGCCTAGAAAGTGAATACACATGTATTTTTTTAACATACTTGCATGTTCATAAAGGACATGTACCATTGTCGTTTCCCACATAAGGAAATTCTGTTTTAAGGAAAGATTGGACAACGCAAATATGATTACGTAGGAGAGAATATTTACCTCCATTTAATTCATTTGAGTCCAGTAAAACAAACATGTCTTATCAACCTTACTAGCATGAAAGGCGCTTTTAAATAAAATGTATTATTATTATTATTATTATTATTATTATTATTATTATTATTATTATAACAGTTAAGCCCTCGTTAAAGTCAACATTTAAGAAAAAAAAGAATACGTTTTCAAATAAATGGTTGGAAAAAGACCTAAAAATGCCATAAGCTCCTTTTAGTGCCAAAGTGATGTCTAATGAGGTGCCCATTTGCAGTGTTTTAAAAATAAATGTGTGTAAAAACATGAATGAATTCTTTGAAATGGGGCTTTCGAGTTAAGGTGATGGTTGTGCATTTGGAATTTCTATTTGACAATTCTTTTCAAAAAGTAGGACATAGTTCAAATGAATCTGTCCATATGGAAAAAAAAACGTGTATGGTTTATATACAGTATTGCAAGCATCATCTCTTCCTTACCTAAATGGAGTAGCATTATCCCTAAGACAATAGACAGGTTGAGCCAATAAAATGTTGCCACTTTTTAAATCATACACAAGTTTTTGAAATGAAAACTTATTCAAAAATTGTCTTGACCATTAACATTTGATACCAAAGGTTCCCCACTTTGTCTTGTTTTCGACACAGTTCAGCAACTCATAACATGTTCAATCCATGCTCCTCTCCTGTGGCTTACAGTTGCAACAGGCACATTGAAATTTGTTTCAGCACATGACAACCCGTCGACGACAACTTTTCAACACCCCACCCCAACCACCAAGCAGTGTCCTCAGCTCTCGTCATTTACAAACACATACATGATGTTAGACGTGGCATGCCACATGACACGCCAATAACAACACAAAAACAAAAAACTTGCAGATTCACTATTTGAAATGTGCAAGACTCTCACAATCAAACATGACGTATTCGTCACACATAAACCTGCGGACCTAACTTAAGTTTTCAGGCAGGACGTGATTGGCTGTTGCAGAGAACACTGGCCTGCTTAACCTCGCTTCATGTTGGAAAACTATGATCGACTGTCCCCCAAATTCACGTGCACATTTCTACCTATGCCCACATCAACCTCAGAAAATGATCGCCTCATTCTGAGGGATGTTAGTGTTTTCTGAAAGATGTTTGCACTTTTCTGACATCAAGTGACGTTTGGCTTTTTATTTTTATTTTTTTAATGGAGAGGGAAACACTTAATGCCTATAAAATCCCCCAAATTAGGGTGATTGTTTTGATATTTTCAGAGGTTGAAGTGGGCATGGGTACATACGAGCATGTGAATTTTGATGATTCCGAGTAGTTTTATGAGATTTTGAACACCAAACTTCTGAACCGCGAGCCAGACCTAACCGCTGTGCTGGATGTGTTTAATAGTGATACCCAATAGTCTGCTTGTGGCCAAATTGCTTTCAAACGTTGACTCTGCCTTGTGCAGATAAGACGGGTCCCGAGGCCGCTGTCTGTCAGCTTTCTCATGATTCACGTCGAGGTGGTCACCCGATACAAGCTGCTGCCATCCAACACCGTTTGTCTCATTCCAACACGTCGCTTGTCAAAGAGGGAACATGTTTTCATCCTGCGGTTGTATTAATGACGGTGTGTGGTTACTAATTCTTGACTTACTTGTCGACTCCTTTGATTTTGGATTGACATTAATGCCTCTTCCGTCCTCAGTGGCAGTTAAACAGGTTCGTTTGATATCAACACGCCGTCTCGGTT